CTGCGGGCGTCTGAGCGCGGGCAGCCCGACCTCCGCGGTGCCGGTCCGGCCGCCTCCGCGCACCACTCTGCGCTCCGGTCCCGTCGCCGCCGCGCTGACCTCCTGTCGTGTCCGGAGCCCGCGCTAGAACCCCGGGCCCGCAATGGCTGCTCCCTCCAGTCGGAAAGTCAACCCGCACACCTCAGGAAGGCCTGGGAGCGCCAGGGAAACCCTGGCGTAGGAAACGAAGCGTAAAAAAAGATGACACTCTGGTGGACAGTTGTAAATGACTCGCCGCTCCGCGCGCATGTGGCGGTGCTCCGAGGCCTAATCCACAGGGCAGGACGGCGGCCGGGCGCCCTGGCCCCGAGGAGCAGGCTGGTCGGGCCCACGCCCTGCTCAGCCTCCGCCGCCTCTGTGCCTCTTCCCTCCCTGACCAGCTGACACTTTAGAAACAGCTTTATTGAACAGGGAACTTGCAGGAGTGAAATGCACCCGTTGTGAGGGAAAGGTTCCCACTGGCTGCGCGTGGGCAGGCTAAACAGCCGTCGCAGAGGTGGGCGAAGGAAAACAGTTTAAGGAAAGGGGGTGCGATGACCGAAGGGGGGCCACCCAGCACTGCGCCTCAGGGCACTGGGTCCGTGAGGGCAGCAGCTAGCTCCCAGGGTGAAACAAGGAAGAGCACAGAGTAGCAGGAGAGCCGAGGCTACGCTGCTTGGCTCAGAGAATCAGAGAAGGGGCCTTGGAGACGGGTGCAGGGGGTAAGCCCCTGAGGAGACGCGGCTGCCCGGTGCGCCCCCGGGAGGGAAGAGGGGGGAAGGAGATGGCACTGGCCTGCTCCCCTAACGGCGAGGGCACTGGGGCCTTCATCCTGAGCAAATTTATCTCCTCCTCCCAGGCGGGGATCTCAAGGGAGGCCTTAGGGGAGGGTCTCAACGGAATATTCATCAGCTTTCCGAGTTTGCTCTTTCAGGGTCCTGGTCCCCACAGATTGGTGGGCGCAGGGTGGGGGTGGGGCGGTCACTAGTCAATGCCCATGGTCTTGAGGCGGCCCCTATGCCATTTTGGTTTTGCTGCTTTTCTGGGCCTGGAGCTGAAATACAACTGAGGCCTAGATGTTATCTTTAGGGAGCAACTGCTCTGGGATCTAAACCGCATGACCAGTTGGGTCATGCTGGGTCGGATAGGTTACCCTGCGGACAAGGTTCTTGTTTCCCCAGTTTTGCCCCTTGCTTGGCATCCGGGGCTTCCTGCCACGGTGGGTTTCTATGCCTGACCCATGGTCCTTGCTCTGCTCATGCCTAACAGTAAGTATACGATTCAGTGATCAAATCAACAACCTTGGTGTCCCAGGATGATACTCTAACCAATTGGCTACTGGGCCAGGGCCTCTTTTCATTTTTTTAATGGTCTTTTGAGATGCAATTTTTTTTTAAATATAAAGTCCATCATCATTTTTTCCTTTTATGGATCATACTCTTGTATCTAAGGGGTGGTGGGGAGATAGGTAAAAAAGATGAAGTACAAATTGGCAGTTACAAAATAGTCAGGGGTATGTAAACTAAAACACACAAGTCAATAATATTGTAGTAACTATGCATGGTGTCTGGTGGGTACTAGATTTATCAGCCTGATCATAAGCTAAATAAATGTCTAATCACCATGTTGTATACCTGAAAATATTGTATGTCAACTGGAATCAAAAAAATTTTATTTTAAAAAATATTAGTCCTGGATGGGTAGCTCAGTTGGTTAGAGCATCATCCAGATATGCCAAGGTTGTAGGTTCAATCCCCAGTAACGTACAGTACATAATTTTTAATAAGCTATTTAAGAAACAGAAAAAAAAAATCCTTGCCTAATTCAAAATCATGAATTCCTCCCAAATTTTCTTCTAGGAGTCAAAGTTTTAGCTCTTACATTTAGGTTTGTGGTCTAGTTTGAGTTCATTTTTTGTGTATGGTGTGAGATAGAAGTCTAAGTTCTTGTGTGTGTGTGCAGACATTCAATTATCTAAGGACACTTTGTTGAAAACACTCCTTTCTCCACTCAATTGCCTTTAGATCTTTGTGACATAAATGTAAGGGTTCCTGGACTCTTAATTGTTCTACCGTATGTCTAGTACCAATACCAAACTGTTTTGGTTACTGTAGTTTCTACTAATTTTTGAAATGCAGTAGTGTAAGTCCTTCTACTTTGTTCTTTTAGAATTATTTTTACTCGATGCCCGGCCGGGCGTGGCTCAGCGGTTGAGCATCGACCTAGGATCCAGGTGATCGGGGTTCGATTACCGGTCAGGGCACATGCCCGGGTTGTGGGCTCGATCAATGACTCTCATCATTGATGTTTCTATCTCTGTCTCTCCCTCTCCTTTCCTCTCTCTGAAATCAATAAAGATATATTTAATAACTAAAAAATTATTTTGTTACTCGAGACCCTTTGCATTTCCACAGATATCCTATGACCAGCTTATCAATTTCTACAAAAACTGCTGCTAGAATAGGGATTATATTGAATTTATCAATTAGAGAATTGTCACCTTAACAATACTGTCTTCCAATCTGTGAACATGAGATGTCTCTCCACTTAAGATCAGGATTTTTTCAACCTTGGTGCTATTGATGTTTGGGGCCAAATAATTTTTTGTTGTGGGGGTTGTCGTATGCATTTTACGTTTAGCTGCATCCCTGGCCTCTACCCGCTAGAGGCCAGTAGCCACCCTTCCCTAAGTTGTGACAACCAAAAATGTCCACACATTGCAAGTGTCCGTAGGGAGAAGTCACCCCTGGTTGAGGACCTCCAATTTAGATCTTCCTCTCAGCAGTACCTTGTAGTTATACATTATCAATGTCCTGTACCTTTGTTAAATTTATTCCCATGTTGTATTCATTTTAATGCTACTATGGAGAGAATTTTAATGATTTTAAGTTTCTTGTTATAGAAGTACAAGTGTTATGTATTTATCTTGTACCTTTTGGCGTTTACTGTGTCTCAGTATTAACTTGCACCACACCAAAATTTTAAGTGTTTCATGAGGTAAACTTTAAATAGTTATGGGCAAGGCCAGTCTGCTCCTGCATTGGAAGCCAGGTGGACAAGCTAAGAGCAAATAGCAACTGAAATGTCTTAGCTAAGTGCAATGTCGTATTCTAGTCGCCTTACATATATCCGCTCACTTCACTCTCAAACATAAACAACCCTACTACCCACTTTACAGGGAAAACTCTTGAGGGTAAGTACTTGCCCTACTTAGAGGCAGTAGTGGAGCTGAACAGAATTACAACTATGGGTTCACTTAATTATTTCAAACTGTTGGGGCTTCAGAAGACCTCAGCCTTCAAAGACCTATGTATCTGGGGCCTGACTGATGTGTTCTTTCAGCTTTAAAACCTGCCTCTAGAAGTGAGATGACATATTCGGCAATAAGACCAAATGAGCAGAACTCTTACGCTTTTTAAAGTGAAGGCTCCTCCGAGTAAAGATGGTTGAGTTGGGAATGCACTGGATGAGGGCAGCAACAGGCCTGTTTTTTAATTCTGGGTGACACTAAGTGTGCCTTAGCTGTCATCTGAGGACACACCTAGCTTTGTCCCAGTTTGCCTCCACCTCTCCAGATGAAGTGTTAAGCCTGTACTTTCAAAACACACAAACCCACCATAGCTTGTATTCCAGGACACAATCCTACTGTTTAAAGACAAAACCAAAAAAAACCGCCCACACCTAGTTGACAGAATTTTATAGTTTGGGCTGGTGTCATCTAGATTGAAATGCATTTAAAGAATATGTGACTTGCAAACACTGTAGTGGTCTATGCATTTTAGAATATCACCTTTGCTTTCTACCTTGTATATTCTCTCAATTTACATTACTTTTAAAGGGCAATACTCATGTTCTTTTGGTTCTTAAGTCATTTATCCTGTTTTCAACATTTACTATCTCCATATCCCGTTTATGTGCAGTGACACACAGATAAAGCAGTATTTTATTCACTGAAGAGATAAGGGGAGGAGTTAACCGCAACTGTGGCCAAAGGGACAGGGGAAAACATCAAAACATGACAATCTTGTGGCTGTGAAAAGTGCTCTATTTTTGGCAGGTGATGCCAGTGGGTCGGGGGCACAGTGACAAGGGGGCACTGAATGCTAGTGTAAGCAACTTGAATTTCACTGCATAAGTTTTTCAGGCATTAAGAACCACTCAGGATTTTCCAGCAGGGGGTCAAGTACCCAGATTTGTTAGAGAATTCTGGTGGTGGCAAGTATCATGGCTCAGAGAACTGAGAGGCAGGCGACTAACCTGAATGCAGGGGAGAGCAAGATGTAGTGGTATTTAGAAATAAAGACTAGAGACAAGACTGTTGAGTGGAGTGTATGAAGCAGGAATGAAGGGTCCTTGAAGGCTTAGATACATGCTTTCAAATAAAAAATAAGTGTAAATGGGGAGGCGGCTGGGTCCCATTCAAAATATTTGGAGTTTGAGGCAACAGAAGAACCTCCAGATAGAGATCCCACTGCCAGCTTGAAACATGGATCTGAAGTCAGCACAAAGGTGGAAGTCTAGGACCCATCCAGAGGTGAACTGCCCACATGTGCTTAGACAAGTCCTAAGGACTAAATCCTGGGGAAACCACACTCAGGGGACAGAGGAAAAGGAACAGTCAGCGGTAGGTCAAGAACTAGGGGCGAGCAGGATCCTGGAAGAGGAGTTCAGGACAGGGAAAATACTGATCACCTCCACCAGGTAATAAGGTTTTCTCTCCCCACTAGAACAGAAGATGCAGGAGGGCAGGGACTCTGGCACTGCCTGCATCGTAGTAGCTGATCAAACACTTAAGAGGATCAAGGCTGAGCCTTAAGTGGTCTCTGAACTTGTAACTGAAGGCACTGATAACATAAACCAGGGCCACATTCAGAACCCCCACTCCCAGCCCCCTTATCCTATCCAGCTCCACCCAAGCAGAGCATAGGCTTTTCAGGCATTAAGAACCACTGCCAGAAGACAGAGAAGGTTCAGACACACATGCGAGTGTACCTCTGAACGCTGGGATACATCTTTATGTGGAAGTCTCGTTTACACATTTTGATGGAAGTTCTTCCTAATGACACTGTCATTAGATTATGAAATAGAGCCTATAAAAGCTATACTGAGCATGTGAACATAAAAGTAACTTTAAAATGAATTTTATGTGCATTATGCCAAATGAAGAAGTCACCTCATCATTTGTTTTGAATTTTCACATTTGCTTAAAAATTAGCATGCCTTGATCTTTTATAGCACCTTCTCCAATTGGTATTGGCAGATTTCCAACTCGATGTGGACATTGAAAGATCAGGCTGTAGAGTACAACCTTTTGTGATAAAAAGCCCCAAACAGAGCCTTGCATTTTCTGAGGTAGAATCCTGTCCAGACAGGTGAGCTGCTGGGACTTCACTGCCAGGGTCACCTTTCTTCACCCACCAACTAGGCCTTGTAAATAAAGCACAAAGTGCCTGGCACAGAGTAGGTGCTAAGTATTGATTGTACACCTGGATTTTCCTTTGAACCATGAATGTAACAAAAATCCATGTCCCTTTTCCAGCGCCGTTCAGACCCTCAGGGCTTGTCCCTTCACTGAGGCCATTAGGTTCCACATCCTTCGTGAAGTCTTCCTCACTTCCTCAAGATGAGTTCCCTTTAGGCCTATCATCTCTAAATGCAAGGGCTTTGCACCTCCTACTCAAAACTCCACCAAGGATATTTGCTACACGGCATTTATTCAATGACTTTCTGTGTTTAGTCACCACTTAAGTCACTGTTAAGCTCTTCCTATCTATTTGTATCACAGCTCTTCATCTTGGGCTGTTAAAGCAACAGCCAGGGAAAGCCCGTGAGCTGTGATTTACAATGACTGGCCCTGTGTCAAAAAGGGCTCTGAGTAAATGCCTGTCGAGGAAGAGGAAAGAGATGAGGATCCTGAGGAAGGGCCCAGACAGGATACACAACCCATGGAACCTAAGGCCAGAATAAGGCCTGGGGTCTGCTTTCCCCCTGCCCTGGAGGCTCTGTCCATCTATGGGTGATTCCAAGGCACAGTGGTGAAGGACATGATTGGCCCACCAAGTGTGGTCCTCTGGTCTAGTGGCAGCCCCTTGGCTGGAAAACAGTGCAACACGCATTCCGTTTAGATCTTCTGAACATGTGCAAGCAGCATTCTCTAATGGAAATGGAGACAAGGTCCTTCTTGAAGGAGAGAGCCCCAGAAGACATGCTCTGCCGCAAGACCAATCAGGTCACTTTTAAGGTCCCTGAGAACAGCAGCCTGGGAGTAACCAAGACTTTCAAAGGCTGACAAGGCACAGAGTGGATGAGTGAAAAGGTAATACATGAAAACAACAGCTTTGGCTTATAAAACATCCAACCTGAGGCAGGGCGTCCAGCATCCAAACATATGGAAACAGATATGCTCATCACAGGGGTTATCAGAAATGTTTCTGCACTTCTCATACTGCCCACATCCAAGTTCTGCTCCACCCTCCCATGAACCCGCACAGTATACACACATAATCTACAGAACAAGCCAGGGGCTGGCATCGGAGCCTGAATCAGGACAGAGCTCTTGGCACTCTGCACTCGGTCACATAACACTGCCCACACTTGAACGGCAGGGTGTGCCATGTGAAAAGTTAGGCTGCACCCAAGACTGGCAGGTCTGGAAAGTCTTTCACTTCTCCTACTTCGCTGAAAGGCTGGCCGCCCTGGTTGAATGTCAGCTTATACCGTAACCGGATTGGCTCCTGGGCAAAGATATAAAATGGTAAATCGGTGAGGAGCAACGGAGACCAGCATAGGTAAAAGCCTTTCCCCATGCAGGAGTCACCTAGGAACAGTGGACACCTATTAACTCAGCCCAGGTGAGGACGTCCCACACTGTGACAGGAATACCCTGGTCTAGACCCCGGGGCCTGCAGACACAAGGGGAGCCAGGCCCACATCTGGGGGTTTCAGTCCTTCATCCCACACTTGTGAAATCCTGAGCTGGACCACTGCTAAGAGACCAGCTGAGGACGACAGACGGGCTTCACCCTTTCAGAGGACTCCACAGATTAGGGAGAGTTTGTCACTCCCTTGGTTCCCAGCCACAACAATCTGGTCTCATGTCTTCTTCTAATAAGCCCCAGAGGAAAACACACTCCAGCAGGGAACAGTCCACCACCACTCCCAACCACCCCAGAGACTTCAGAGCAAGACCTCAAATGCCTCTCCCCACCTACCAAGCTGCCACCCTACAGTTCAGGACCCACCTCCCAGCTGTTAGACACTAGAACATACTTTGTGTGGATTGTCGAGCAGCAGCATCTGAGAGATCACAGCTGGAGGCATCAAAGGACTAAAGGCTGGGAGCTGGGAGCTGGATGCCGGCTGCAGTTTCACTCTCATTGACTATGGGGTGGGGAAGATCCAATATATAACTCAGTCCTAGTAAACGACAGCTTCAATAAGGAGATCAGGTAAATAGGAGAGGCTGACTTGCACCCCATCAACTGATGACAGGATTCAGAAGACTGCTCCTTCCACACACAAAGTGTGTCTGATGTATCAGTGCTTAGCTTCTGAGGGGTACATGCAGAGCGAGGGCACATCTTGGGTTGAACTCCAACTCTGCTTCTCACCAGCTCTATCACCTTGGGCAAAATATTTAACCTTTCCGGGCCTTTGAATGATAATTGATAAAACAGAAGTAGCAATAACACCTGCCCCACATGATCACCATGAGGATTAGAAAATGTGTATCTTGGCCCTGGCCAGGTAACTCAGTTGGTTAGAGCATCATCCCGATACACCAAGGTTGCGGATTCAATCACTGGTCAGGGCACATGCAAGAATCAACCAATGATGCATGAATAAGTGGAATAACAAATCTCTCCTCTGCTCTAAAATCCATAAAAATTAAAAAATTTAAGAAAATGTGTCTTTTTGTCTGCCTTGAATCTTCCCTTTCAGGAAATGCCCCTTCCCCGTTTCTTGTGATGCCAGCGTGGCTATTAATCTGTGGGGCCCTTGTCCCCTTGTTAAAGGGGTGGACCTAATATCCAAATTGGCCAGAGTACCTCACATCCCTGAACACACGTTATTGCCAAGGTACGCAAGTAACACCAGTGCCAATCCTATCCAGGTTCTCTTGGGCAGTCAGTCTGCTTGCCTCATGCCAGGTGAGAGTCTTCTTTTTTTTTAAATCCTCACCCAATGATGTTTTTATTGTTTTAGAGAGAAAGGGGGAGAGGGGGGAGAGATGGGAAGGGAGAAAGAGAAACATGGATGTGAGAGAGAAACATCAATTAGCTGCCTCCTCTACACACCCTGACTGAGATCGAACCTGCCACCTTTGGTGTACCGGACAATGCTCCAACCAACTAAGCCACCCAGCAAGGGTTCTTCCTTTCTTTTTTTCCCTTCCATATTCATTATTTAATTTAATCTTTAAAAAAATTTTGTTTTATTTTTTCAATTACAATTTGCACCCAATGTTATTTTGTATCAGTTTCAGGTGTATAGCACAGGAGAGTTTCCTTCGGAGATAAAAGGGTTAAGGATTATGTGATCCTGGAGCTGCTGGTACCATTCTCCTGCCCTGTGGAGAGTCTGTCAGAACAGGCTCCAACGAGGAAGGCAGTCAGAAGGTGGGAAGAGACAGATTTTTAAGGAATCATCTAAGAACTTACCTGGATCCAGACATCAGAAATCACCAGTAAAATGAGCCTTCAACTACTCTGAGTCAAGACTCTATCCTTCCACCTAACTGATACTGTCCCAGCAAAGGGCCTGGTGCTCAGAAACAACAGCCTTTATTGACAAACTCAAAGGATCTGCCCAGCGAATGGCTCACCTTTGGCACGGCCACTTGAAACATGATGTCCCAGACAGGCTGGGTGGCAGTGCTCATCATGGTCAGCAGGAGCACCTGCACCTCGGGGTGTCCAGGGGCCCCCGTCTGGGAAAAGTGGAGAAGAATTCGGAACCCATTCCGGTCGTACACAATGATCGGAGGCAGGCTGCCTGGTAGAGAAGGCCCAACCAAAAGAGTTAGCACTGCTACAGTCCCCAGCCAGCCAAGCCGAGAGGCGGCGTGCACATTCTCACCAAATGCTGTCGCAGCTCTGGTCAGTGCCACTCCAGGACTTGCCCTCTGCACTGCCGTAATCCAATTCCTCATGACTTCTAGCTGGACGCCTATGAACCTCCAAACTGACCTCTCCCACCATCCAACCATCCTAAGCACATTACCAGATGTGTGTTTTTTTGTTGCTTGTTTGTTTTTAAATATGTTTTAATTGATTTCAGAGAGGAAGGGAGAGAGAGAGAAACATCAATGATGACAGTCATCGATCAGCTGCCTGCTGCACATCCCCTACTAGGGATCGAGCCCACAATCTGGGCATGTGTCGGGACTGGGAATCAAACCATGACCTCCAGGTTCATCGGTCAGCACTCAACCACTGAGCACACTGGCCGACACCAGGTTTTTTTTCTAAAATAAGAGCTTTTAAAAAGGGAGAGATGATTAAAATAATGAACACTGGAAAATCCAGGATATCAAAAAACAAAATTTTTAAAAAACACACTTAATTCTATTCAGGAATAAGCACTACTAACATCTGGGCCTGTTTTCTTCTGGTCTATTGTGCATGACTACACACACACACCCTATATTTAACTTCAAAGAACTATACAGATAGCAGATCTCTTTAAATTAACAGGTTTAATGGCATTCCAATAGAAATTTTAAATGGATTGTTTTAATGTAAGTAGGAAATGATTCTAAAGCTAATTTGGGGTGAAAAACAAACACATGAGACTAATCATAAAAAAAAAAAGAAAAATTAAAAAAAAGGGAGGTATAGCTATTTGCACTAACAAATACTCAGGAGGTACAAAATAGCAATTCAAACTAAGCGATATAAAACGAAGCATGCAGAACAGACCCAAATGTGAGAATTTAACATGTTAAGAACATACATTTCAAAACCGGTGGCTGATTAATAAATGGCAAACACCTGGCTAATGAGCTGGAAAAATTTTTAATGAATCCTTGTCTCATGCCAACCATCACTTACCAAAATGCAAATATAAAAATACAGTTAAAAAGCCCTGGCCGGTGTGGCTCAGTTGGCTGAGCCACTGCCCATGCACCAAAAGGTCACCAGTTCAATTCCTGGTCAGGGCGCATATCCAGGTTTCAGGCTGGATCCCTAGTAGGGGGCATGTAAGAAGCAGCTGATAGATGTTTCTCTCTTATATCGATGTTTCTCTCTCTCACTCTCCCTCTCCCTTCCTCTCTCTCTCAAAATATCAATGAAAACAATAAAAAAATAATACAGTTAAAAATATATAGTTAACAATGAATCTGCCAAAGATTCAAAAGGCTGAGAATACACATGAGGGATCGTGGTGAAAGTGTGGAGTTAGGACAACCTTTCTGGAAGGGAGCTTGGCAATGCAGATTAAAATGTTAAATGTCGCCCGGCCGGGCGTGGCTCAGCAGTTGAGCGTCGACCTAGGATCCAGGCGACAGGGGTTCGATTCTGGGTCAGGGCTGCAGGCTCGATCAATGACTCTCTCATCATTGATGTTTCTGTCTCTCTCTCTCTGCCTCCTTTCCTCTCTCTGAAATCAATAAAGATATATTTACAAAAAATTAAAAATAAAATAAAGTGTTAAATGTCTACACCCAGTATTTCTACTTTTAAGAATATATCCTGTTGAGCCCTGGCCAGAGTGATTCAGTGATTAGAGCATCAACCCGTGTACTAAAGGGTTCCAGGTTCAATTCCAGCCAAGGGCATGTACCTCAGTTGCAGGCTCGATCCCCGACCCTGGCTGGGGCATGTGCAGGAGGCAACCAATCGATGTGTCTCTCTCACATCGATGTCTTTCTCTCTCCCACTTCCACTTTCTCTGAAAATCAATGGGAAAAATATCCTCGGGTGAGAATTAAAAAATATACACATACATGTATATATACATACTTACGCGCGCGCGTGTGTGTGTGTGTGTATGTGTATGAGGGTATATATCGAATTGAATTTAATCAAGAAAGTTTAAAAAAATAGGTTTCCAGGCCCTGGCCAGGTAGCTCCATTGGTTAGAGCATCGTCCCAATATGGAAAGGTAAGGGCACATTCAAGAATCAATCAATGAAAGCATAAATAAGTGGAACAATAAGTTAATGTTTCTCTTTCTCTCTCAAATCAGTAAGTTTAAAAAAAATTTTTTTAATAACAAAATTAAAAATTAAAATATAGGTGTCCAAAAATGTTCATTGTAGCACTTTTTGTTTTTGTTTTAGTATGTTTTTATTGATTTTTTTAGACAGAGAGGAAGGGGGAGGAAGAGAGAGAGAAACATCCATCAGCAGCCTGCAATTCGGGCATGTGCACTGACTGGAAATCGAACCAGCGACCTCTTGGTGAATGGGAAAACACCCAACCAACTGAGCCACACTAGCTGGGCTATAGCACTGTTTTGAACTGGAAACAAATGATCTTTCAGAAAAGAACTGAGTTCCTAGTCGGTTTTGCTCAGTGGTTAGAGCATCGGTCCACAGACTGAAGGGCCCGGGGTTCTATTCCAGCCAAAGGCATGTACCTGGGTTGCAGGTTCAATCCCTGGCCCAGTCCAGATGCACACAGGGGGCAACCAGTTGATGTGTCTCTCTCACATCGATGTTTCTCTCTTTCTCTTTCTCTCTCTCTGTCTCCCTTCCATTCTCTCTGGAAAGTAATGAAAAAAATATACTCGAGTGAGGATTAAAAGAAAAAAAAATTTAAGGGAACTGAATAAATGAGTTATAGTACATCTGTATTCAGTGGTATTATGTATGAATTCATTTTTTAAAAAGCAAGGTTCTGGAGAAAAATTAAGGGCATGAAAAATGCTATGGCTCATAATAGTAAATAAAGCAGGATATACACACTATATATTATGGTGCCAATTAATTTAAAAAACGTGTACATGAATAAGACAAGAAAATACATTAAGACATTAACAGAACTTCCATCTCTGGGTGATAATGGTACAGGTGATTTTAATTTTCTGATCTATCTTTTCTAAAACTTCTAAACTGAAAATGTATTTCTTTGCTTTTAATTTTTTTTTTTACTTTGTTTTGTAATAATTTCAGATTTTTTTAAATTGAGAGAGGGAGGAATGGGGGGGGAGAGAGAGAGGAAGGGAGAGGGAGAGAGGGACGCAGGGAGAAGGGAGAAGGGAGAGAGGGAGAGAAAGAAACATCGATTTGTTGTTCCACTTATTTATGCACTCATTGGTTGACTCTTGTATGTGCCCTGGCTGGGGATCGAAACGAAAACCAGGACGATGCTTTAAGCAACTGAGCTACCTGGCCACGGCATAAGAATTTCAGATTTATAAAAAGTTACAAAGCTAACAAAAAATTCCCATATACCCTTCACCCAGCTTGCTCAAATGTTAATGTTTTATAAAACTGCAATACAATTACCAAAACGAGGCAACTAACATTGAATATGGATTATTTTTAAATCAAAAATTAACACAGCAAGTGTGCAAAGGGCTCCCACTGCTCACTGACTGTTTAACTTCCTCTGCCTGGTTCCAGGGCCCTTTGCTAGAGAGCAAGGCCAGGCCCCGGATCTAAAGCTCAGTTGTTTCCTGCTCATATACTAGTGCTCCCCAGAGGCAGTTACATTACTTAGTGAGCCTCCAAGTTTCCTTTGTACGGGGGTAATATCTACTTTCCTCCCTTACAGAGGATCTCTAGAGGAAGAAAATCACCAGCCAATTCTTTCCTTTCCTTCTAACTCCACCTTTTCTGAGTTATTTCAAGCCACACTGAACATTCTCTTGAATTCCAAATGAACGAACATGTGCCCCTAAGCAGACTCAACCCCCTAACTGAATCTGCCTGCCAACATCCTTCACACGTCCACCCCAAGACAGAGAAAACATTAAGGAAAATATTAGCTGAGAGGTGAAACCACTTCCTATCCTCAGCCCTGAGGCAAAATCTCTACCACTTATCTCCAGTTAAGAGCCATCCCTACAACTCCAGAAGGGATCAAGCTGGACGTCTAACAGAGAGAGAGAAAAAAAAGGGTGAAACTGCACTTACTGGGCTTAACAGACTCCAAAGGGACAAATATTCGAGCCAGAGGTGTATTCTGGGAAGATGGAGATGAAGCCAATGGGCCAGCCTCCCAGGACCACCCTGGAGATGACTTAGTACCTGGTGGCACTTCCTTGGGGATACTTTTCTGTGGAATATAATTCCTGCAGAGAAATAAAAAAATATCAAGACTAGCACGAATTTCAGGAATCTGTGACTAGGCTTTCTGATGAACAAGATAAGAAAGGGGAAAAGTATACATATACATATGTATATGCATATGTAAGTGAGTATGTGTATATTTTAGAAGTATATGATTTTAGACAAGTAATTTAACCTATGCCTCAGTTTTCTGAGGGTTGTCAGAATTAAATGAGCAAACATCTAAAATGCACTTAGTGGAATGTGTGATGTAATAAGGAGCCAATTAACAAGAGCTATTAATAAGGTAACTAATGGAGCTGTCAGGCAGACTCTGATGACACACTCACTCAGCCAGGGTCAGTTTCCCACATGTGATCACCAGAGGGACAGGAACCAGGAAGATGGTAACACAGACTGCAGGCACCACACCATTCATACTTCTTTATGATTTTGTCCATTTGCAATACAAACTGAAAACATTTTTGGACAGTAGTAATCCACCAAAATCAGAATTATTTTTTGTGGAGTTATTAGAGAGTGAACTGGAAAGGAACCCCTCTAGATGTGGTAGGTACAGCCTCCCAGCACATCCCTGACACCAAGGTCCTGTGATCTCTCCACCAGGGTCACAGGCACTCATAGGCAAACTGCTCTAATATTTCCGGAGGCAAAAGGACAAGGTCTCTCGGGGAAACGTGTTCATATTCATAGCTCGGAGCACCTCTACTCTGATGAAACTATACTATAACCACTCCCCCAGGTGCCTCCAAACTGGAAGCTATGGAAAGATCCACAAGAGGGAAATGATTAAATACATGTATGTGTCCATGTATGAATCATTATATAACCACTGGAAAGAATAAGACAGATTTGTATAAACTGACATGCAAATATGTCAAAGATATGATGTGATATGAAAAAATCCACACTGGAGTACAGTTTGTATATTAAGAACCCATTTGTGCCCTACCCGGTTTTGCTCAGTGTTTTGAGCATCGGTCCAGGGACTGAAGGGTCTTGGGCTCGATTCTGGTCAAGGGCACGTACCTCGGTTGCAGGCCTGATCCCCAATTGAGGCGCATGAGGGAGGCAACCAATCGGTGTATCTCTTTCACATTGATATTTCTCTCTCTCTCTCTCTCTCTCTTTCCCCCTCCCTCCCTTCCACTCACTTGAAAAGCAATGGAAAAAATATCCTCAGGTGAGGAGTAAAAAACAAACAAAAAGAACCCGTTTGTGTGACAACAATACATTACTACATGTGTAGGAAAAAAGCAAACAAGGAACATTCAACATTATCTTTAGGGGTTGATATTTGGGACATTCCATATTAATTATTTCTCTAGTGATCGAATTTTGCTTAATTTCAAATTATATCATAATCAGAAGAAAATCCCTCAACCTACAAACAAAACATTGTCACCTACTGCTGCTGCTGCTGCTTAAACAAACCTCTCCAGAGGCATGGCCACGGCATGTGCTTCTGACTTCAGTCTCCAGGGTCACCCCAGCCCTGGTTCAGTGAGCCCCCCATCCCGCCCCTGCCTACAAGACTCACAGAGGGCCTGGAGGCGGCTGCGGGGACAGGAGGTCCAGCAAGTTTTCTGTTGATGCGCTCTGCCCACCGCTGGGTAATGTGCTGGCAGGAGTCCTCTTTTCCTTACAGCAACTCTGCCCTGCAACCTGCCAAACCAGGAACGGCTAAAATGAGGCCAGGATATGAATGACCACTGGCCACGGTGACACCGAGGCACAGCTCTCCTGACTGCACTGAAGCTGCCGCAGCCCAGGCTGAGTACACTGCCTGAGGCACGAGGGAAAGAAAGGGCAAGAGCACATGACTCCGAGGAGAACTCCAGTAAGCAGAGCCTGGGCACTGCTGAGGAGGGTCGAGGCACAAGGAGGAGACAAGGATGTCTTCCTGTGGGGCTTCGTGCCAGGCAGCAGAGCTGAGGAAGAGGCTTTGGCCTCCAAGTCTGTAAGCAGCCCCAGGCTATGCTATAGCCCTCTCTCCTCTGGGCAGCGCTTCCCCCACCTCCCCTCTGCAGCCCCTGGGAAGAGCTTCCTTACCTTGCTGGTAACTGGAGCATCACTGATTCCTGCAGGGAAGGAATAGAGAGAGATGCACACCATTAACTCAAGCTGCCGGGAGGGGGGAGCAGCACCATGCCCACACACCCCTTCCAGAACACTCAGAAAGCCCAGAGTGAAGTGGCCAAAGCCATCCACCTTATCCACAGCAAACCTGAGCTTCCCAGTATGCCCACTGCAGTCAAAAATAGGCACGTTCTGCCCATGGGACCCCGCTTACTCACTCTCCCTGGGAGCCAGGGCCATTCTGTGCCTGCTCCCCAAGCCACCACCCTCACCCAAGGCGGCCAGGTCCTGATGAAGGAGAGATGGTGCCCCAGTCCCAGCCTGCTCAGATCCACTGTCCACCTCCAAGTCAATCAGGCAGTTTCTCATGCAGCCTGTTGGATTCTGAAAGACTAGAAAACAGATTTAGTCAGTCAGAATGAGAGCAGTCTCCACTTAAAGCCTTCCAGCTTCCCTCAGGCCTCTTCCCAGCCAAGACACCATGTCACCCCATCCTCAACACGCCTCCAGCACCTTCCACCTCAGGTGGAGGGCTGGGCAGACAGCCTGCGCTGGCGCCTAGAATGAGAGATCCAGGGGACTGCCTTCCCCCCAGCAGCCAGAGGCCTCCTCTGATGGGCCATTCAGCCTGGACATAGCATAGCTGGCTTCTCCAGCTAAGAGCACAAGGCTCCTGGCCAAGCGAACCAGGTTAACCTGCAGTGCTTGATAAAAACCCAAACACCCAGGCCTGGCGCTAAGCAATCCTGACTTGCAAGGTTCAAGTCAGGGACCTAGGGATCTGCATTTTAATCAGCAGTGAGATGATTCTGATGCAGCTAGCTGGCCTCAGGAGCCACTGAAGATCTTTTTTTGGGTCTCCAGCTCCCATAAGCAAGCAGGCATGAGAAGAGGAATCTAAACCTGGGCGCAACACAGCTACCTGCTTCTGTTTATAGCTAAAGCTGCGGTCCAGCCTGCCAGTCACCCCATCATGACACAGGTGGTGGCTCTCACAGGAAAGTGAGTGAAAGAGGGCAAGTTTCTTATTTCCACAGCATAATCCAGGATATTCTGAGGATCATCTCTTTTCTGGGATTTGCAGGCTGCCCCAAGGCAGAGGGCATGGAGAGGCTCTCTGCACATACCTCTGGAGACAGGTATTTCTCCGACTGTGCTGGTCACTGTATTCCCAAAGATGACACGGCCCTCCATCACCTGCTTGTACAGCAGAACTCCCTGGGTGAGGAGGTCATTTGCCTGAAGAATCTCCGCTGAAGAACGAGAGAAAAATCAGAGTCCCCAGGTGCGCTACCAACAACCTTAGTCCTTTTTAAGCCACTCCACAATGCAGCTGCCACAGGGCTCGGCCAGATTCAGTCCAGCCATGCCCCACCCCCAAGCACATGATTAGGCCCCTCTATCAGATCTAGGGACTCAAACCCTGGACCCCAACACTTTCAGTTCTCAGGATAAGAGTACGAACCAAATGTGTTCACCTTCTATGCCTGCTCTATCCACATGATAGCCAACGGCTGAAATATGGCTCCATCAAATAAGGAACTAAAACTTTAATTAATCTAAAATTAAAACAGAAAACCATTTTATCAACGTGGATGTGACTATTAAAAGAATTTTTTGGCCCGGCCAGGCGTGGCTCAGCGGTAGAGTGTCGACCTGGGATCCAAGAGACCGGGGTTCGATTCCTGGTCAGGGCACATGCCCGGGTTGCGGGCTCGATCAATGACTCTCTCATCATTGATGTTTCTATCTCTCTTTCTCCCTCTCCTTTCCTCTCCCTGAAATCAATAAAGATATATTTAAAAAAAAAAAAAAAAAAGGAATTTTTTGGTACTTTCAGTTACTGAAAAGCTTGTAAGTATGTAGGGAAAAAATTGGTACATGAATTTTTACCCTTATAAAATCTAAATATAGATCAAGCATTCTTGATGAAAATTTAATGTCCAAATTAAAATGTTCTGAAAGTATAAAATAAGCCTGGATTTCAAAAACTACACAAGCCTCTCATGGTCTGGTTTACCTGTAAAAAAACCTCTCCCAGGAGAGAGAAACAAAAGAGCAAAGGGCCAAGGGCTATGCAGGCCAAAGTGCCAGAAGATTACTTCTTAGGCGTGACTGACCAATTACTTCTTGTCAACAACCAGACCCCGTGGGCCTCTTGACCACCACCTATGAAGTACCTCTGTTCCCTCTGTCCCACCCCAATTGATCCTGAATCTGATCAAGCCCCTGGATCCAACTGATAAGGAAACTCAGGAATAGAGAATCATGCTAAACACCATGGGGATGACATTAGAAAACAGAGACCAAGAGAAACTCTGCATGTCAAAGGACATGCTGTTCATGCACAAAAATAAGGACCGAATGGGGGCTTCTATCCATTAAGACTTAACAAATATCCACTGCCCGGATGGTGTGGCTCAGTGGACTGAGTGTCCTCCCGTGCACCAATAGGTGACTGGATCAACTGCCCATCAGGGCACAGGCCCAGGTTGTGGGTTTGATCCCTGGGTACAGGGTGTGTAGGAGGCAGCCAATCCATGTTTCTCTCTCATGGATGTTTCTCTCTCTCTCTCCCGCTCTCCCTTCTTCTCTGAAATCAATAAAAACATATTTTTTTTAAAAAGAAAAAAGAATTATCAACCAATTTCAAATTATGGTTTTTCTTTTGAGTTTGGTTTAAGGGGGGCTGGTGTTGCTCAGTGGTTGAGTGTTGACCTATGAATCAGGAGGTCACCAGTTCTATACCTGTCAGGGCACATGCCCAGGTTGTAGGCTTGATCCCCAGTAGGAGGCATGCAGGAGGCAGCCAATCAATGACTCTCATCATTGATGTTTCTATCTCTCTCGCCCTCTCCCTTCCTCTCTCTGAAATCAACAAAAACATATTAAAAAAATTAAAAAATAGAAAATAAATTTAAAAAAATTAAAAAGAAGGGGGCAAACAGTANCAAAAACATATTAGAAAAATTAAAAAATAGAAAATAAATTTAAAAAAATTAAAAAGAAGGGGGCAAACAGTAGCAAGCAATGGTTAAAGAGGGAAATGCCAGGGAACGCTGAACACTGAATGAATGTTTAATTACTTTGAAATGTCTGGAATTTGCTTCAAAATAGAATGGGAGGTGAGAGGGAGAGAGTGGTACAGAAAAAACAAGGTCAAAAGACTGGTCATGAGTTGGTCACTGTCAACAGGTGAAGAGTACGTAAGATTTATTCTACTGTTCCCCTTTCTGAAGTGTTTAGAGATTTTCAATAAAAGACAGAATGTTTTAATACCCATGTTAAGGTATTAAAATTCTCCGCTCTCCTGCCTTGGCCAGTGTGGCTCAATTGGTTGGAGCATCGTCCCGTACATCCAAAGGTTTAGGGTTTTATTCCCAGTCAGGAAACACACCTAGGTTGTGGGTTCGATCCCCAGCTGGGTTGAGCGTATGTGTAGGAAGGCAACGGACTGATATTTCTCACTCACATCAATGTTTCTCTCTCTCCCACCTTCCTCTCTCTCTAAAGTCAATAAGCAGGTCCTTGGATGAGGACCTAAAAAAAATTCTCCACTTTCCCTACCTCTGACTCCTTAGGTTACCTGCCCGGCCCTTGAAGGGGCTCAGGTTGGGGGAACCTACAAGATGACGACTGGAAGCTGTTTAAGGGCCTCTGTGGGTGGTCCAGCCTTTCTTCAGCCATCAGCACTATCTCCTCTCTCTTCTCCCACCCTCAGCCCCTTCTACATGGTGACTGTCCTCCCCTTCCTATGCTTTCAGACCAGCTGCTGATTTCTCGCTTAAGGCTAGATTCTTCTGGAAATCAGTTCTAAATCAACTTAGGCCGTGCCCTTCCTGAGCCCATCACCATAAACCCTAAAGTCCATTCTGCCTTGTTCCTGGCACCACAGAGGCACAATGGGAAGGAGCATGCCAGCTTTGCACCTGGCTGCTTCCTGGGCCGAGAGGAAGAGAACATTACCTAGAGCGTCGTCATCGTCAATGGTGTCACTCGCCAGCCGGAACAGGGTGGGCCGCAGCTTCTCACACCTCTCATACACAACCTGGGAAACAAAGCTCAGTTCACCACACCCAGGACCCACAGGAAGGCCCAGGGTCTTCGTTAGCACGCAGCAGAGTCTGGGTCTCAGGAGTTCTCCTTGATCAGCCCGAAATTCTTGACTGCAAGCTTGAAGTAACAGGGCAGCTACAGTGTGAGAAATAGTTCAGGCCACTACTGTATGGGAGTTGTTTAATATAATAGTTAAAAAGGTCACCCAGCCAGGCATGGCTCAGCGGTTGAGTGTCGACCTAAGATCCAGGCAATCAGGGTTCAATTCCCAGTCAGGCACATGCCCGGTTGCAGGCTCGATCCCCAGTCAGGGGCGTGCAGGGGGCAGCCGATCAATGACTCTCTCATCGCTGATGTTTCTACCTCTCTCTCTCTCTCTCCCCTCTTTCCTCTCTCTGAAATCAATAAAAATATATTTAAAAAAATAAAAATAAAAAAAACTGAAATGTGACAAGACCTTAGCTCAACCCTGGCTGGGTAGCTCAGCTGGTTAGAGCGTTGTCCCGATACACTAAGGATGTGGGTTCGACCTCCGGGGTCAGGACACATACAATAATCAACCAACGAGTGCATAAGAACATCAAATCAATTTTTCTCTGTTTCTCTCTCTAAATCAATCAATAATTTTTTTTTTTTTAAAAGACTTTAGTTCAGAAAAAACCCACTACGTCAGTGTACAGCATTCTCTTCTTCAAGCTCCCTTCTCTTGCTCCCCCTAGAACGGTTTTGCAATGGATGACCCCCCCGATGGAAGCCTGCAGTGACTCCCCATCCAACTGCTGTCCAGTGCCAGGATTCCCTTTACAGCAACACTCCCATGACTCCCACCACAGGTTCTCCTGGAACTAAATCTCATCCCTCTACCCCCACCTGGGAAATCTCATCTCAATCACCACAGGGACAGTGCTCCAGACAACATCACCATCCACATTGCTGAAGGGACACTGATTCTGCACATCTCAAGCTTCCTTCCCTGCAGGGGAGCTCAACTAACTAAGCTAACACTCTAGCCCTCCCCCCAGTGCTGGTGAAATAACATATCTGGAAGGGGGCTCTGGAGAGGAAGCAGAAAGGAGCCCCTTCCTCCCACTTTGCTTTTGATTCTACCTGCTATACGGAAACCCACATTCGGACCTGCTCCTACCTGCTATAAGTATTAAAGAAGGAACCCCTAGTGGAAAGGACACAGTAAACATGCCTGGTTCTAGGGTTCAGTATCAGGAAGCCACTGGCCAAAATTTATTTGCTACATTTCCAACATCAGCTTTATCCATTATAAAGATGAACTTTGGTTTCCAACTGTGTCTCTCTTACCTTGTACCTGGTTATTATCTTGCCTGGGGAAAAACTGCTATTTTTTCAAGCATTTTTTAAAAAGTATGTTTTTATTGATTTGAGAGAAAGAGGGAGAGAGAGAGAGAGAAACATCAATGTGAGAAAGAAACATAGATCGGCTGCCCCCAGAACGCCCCAAATGGGGAACGAACCTGCAACCCAGACATGTGCTTGATGGGGAAATAAAGGCACAACGCCCAACCGAGCCACACGGGCCAGGGTAAAACTGTTCTATCTAAAAGCCCAACATGCTGATCCTCCTGAGGGGCTCTGGTGTAACTGAGGCAGGTTAGTAAAAACCAGGAAAATTCCCTGGCAGGTAGAATGAGGAAACTGAGACAAATGGCTGAGCAAACGGCTGAGTAATTAACAGCCAGCTAATAAACCACAAGACCCTATCCTTCCTAAACAAAAATACCTAAGAGAAGATGGTTTAAATCACCATAGCCAGGGATCCAGTAAGATCCAAACTAAGGCAAGATGGAGGAAAAATGACCAGAGAGTGACCCCAGGCCCCATTATATGCTCATTTTAATACATCAGCATCCTAAGCATCACACCTGAAACCTAATGAATATTACTGAGATCCTCCCTGGGACCTGCCCTATAATTGCCCTACAGAAAAGAGAGAAAACCCTCAGGACAGAGATCACCAGCCTGGGCTCTTTGAGCACTCCACACCTCCTTCCTCAGGCACCTCTTTCCTCAGGTGTGGACCTTTGAGGGTCGTCATGAGACTTGCAACCAGGGAGCAGTGGGGAGCAGCAGCTGGTCCCGGGCTCACCCCTAATCCTGTCTCCAAGGCCCTTCTTTTGCTCACTGTCCTAAGCTTTAATAAACTTTCACTTCCACCTGAACTCGTCTTGAATTTTTTTCTGCACGAGCCAAGAGCCTGCAGGTGGCCTGGCACACAAAAAGGGCAGGGCTAGCCCCCAGTAACACAACCTCACCATGGGAGATTGGCTTTGGAGTGTCTGCCTGGCCCAAACCCCCAACCCTCCTGAGTGCAGTCTCCTCCAGCAACAGCAAAGACCAGCACATTCCTCTCTAGATCTCTGCCCAATCCCAGTGGCTGTTCACTGACCCAGGCAGGTACATGAGCCACACTGGCCAAACAGATTCTCTCTCAGGAGTTGGTATTGGGAAAGACAAGCTTGTTTCTGCTAGCTTTGCGAAATGGTAGGGCAGGTAAACCACATGAAGGGTCTCTTCTATGCAGAGAAGCATAAAAAGCCAGAATGCAGACAGAAGCTGGATGCAGCCTACAAAAAGAGGCAGAGAGCAGAGCTCCAGAGAGACTAAGAATGGCTGACTCAGACATTTCAGTGCCACTATCCCCTGCCTGCTACACCAGGGGCTGGTGTGTCTTAGATAGGACACCTGAGCACCAGCAAAAATAGAAAAAAAATAGACAAATTGAACTTGAAAATTAAAACCTTTTGCATGTCCAGTGTGGCTCAGTTGGTTGGGTATCAACTGAACCTTTTGGTTCCCTGCTCCAAAAGGTTGCTGCCGGTTTAATTCCTGTCAGGGCACATGCCAGGTTTGCAGGCCCGATCCCCAGGAGGCAGCCGATCGGTCATTGATGTTTCTCTCTCTCTCTCTCTCTCTCTCTCTCTCTCTCNTAGAGGCGTGCAGGAGGCAGCCGATCGGTCATTGATGTTTCTCTCTCTCTCTCTCTCTCTNCCCCCTCCCTCTCCCCCTCTCCCTTCCTCTGTCTGAAATCAATAAAAAACATTTAAAAAAAAAGAATTCTTGACTGTGCCCTAGCCAGGTGGCTCAATTGGTTGGAGTGTCACCCATGTGCCAAAGGTTGTGGGTTCGATTCCCAGTCAGGGCACATACCTACATTGTGGGTTTGATCTCCGGTCGGGGCACATAAAAGAGGTTACCAAGCAATGCTTCTCTCTCTAAAAAAAAATTTAAAAAAATATGTCCTCAGGTGAGAAAAAAAAATAAAATTCTTGATTGGGACGATGACTGCACAGATGGACACGTCAACACATAGCAAACACACTGTAAATGTGTGCAATTTCTAGTATGTCGGTTATACTCAGCTACTCCTGTCTTTTTTACTTCTTTACTTATTACATTTAGAGACGAGTACCTGCAGGGCCTCCTGGTCTGGTGGGGCCTGCCCTGGCCTGCGGTACCTGCTCAGCATTTCCTGCAGCACCTTCACGTGGCTCCGCACTTCCTCCACGGCACTGACTCTCTTGGACACCTTCTCTGATTTCTCCTGCTCCTTTGGGAGAAAGAGCATAGCAATGAGAGAGCAGAAGCCCTGGATAAAGCCTGAACAGGGGGTGGGAAGGGGGTACTGCACTGGGGAGAGCTCAGGGAAGTCACTCAACACGGACTGGATGGAGTGCTCACTCAGCGGGTGAGGAGAGCCCTCAAAGCCCAGGGTTTCCGGGGAAGACAATGCAGCTGGGGGACTGGCGATCCACTACTTTGTACCACCAGCCTTAATCCTCTGAAAAACAGATTCCCAAACCTGGACTCTATCCATGCAATACTTGTGACCAGGACAGAAAATAGTGTCTGTGAACCACTTTGTGCTACTGGGCAGAAGTACCTGGAAAGCACATAGTGTGGTCCCTGCAGCCCTCAAGGAGCTGCGCATGGCTGTTCCCCAGCCCAGATTAGGAGGCCATCCACTCCCCCAGATAGCTGTGCATTGACACCCTCCTCACACACACACACCCCCACAGACACTGTGCAGCCCCTGTCCAAGGCTGGTTCTGCAGAACGCAGTGGGAAAATGCCCACCTCCTTGACCAAACTCTTGATCAGTCGGTTTGCAGCCTGCAGATCCTCAGGGTGGCTGCTCCTCAGAAGCCTTGTCAGAAGCTGCAGGTGAACAAGAAGAGTAGGTGAAACTATTCCACTCAGTGTCCAATGGCCAGTGTGTGGCATCAGCTGACACTCACAGGAGCTCGTACATTTCACATGCATTATCCGAGCAAATCTGAGCACTCACACTATGATGTAAGTACTACCACTGTCTCCACAGACCACTCGTTTCAGTGGGGTAAGNNNNTTTCACATGCATTATCCGAGCAAATCTGAGCACTCACACTATGATGTAAGTACTACCACTGTCTCCACAGACCACTCGTTTCAGTGGGGTAAGCAGGTGGAGGATGATATCCCGCAGGAGACATTTGGAAAAGTCTGGAGACGCTCTGATTGTCACAATTGGGGTGCTACTGGATCTAGTGGGTGGAGGCCAGGGGTGCTGCAAACATCCTACAAATGCACAGGCAGCCCCAACAGGAAAACTAGCTTGCCCAAATGTCAACAGTGGGGAGTTGTCCTGGACCCTGGACTCTATGATGTGACAGGGCTTGGCAATCTTGTTCACTTTATTTCCAATGCCCAGCAGAATGCCTGGCATAGGAGTCACTCAATCTTTGTTGGATGGATGGCAGGAAAGATGAGGATACTGAGCCCCAGAGAGTGTTAGCAGCTTTCCCAAGCTTCTGTCTTTTTCAGAAGTCCATCTCCTACCTTCTCCCTTGCTCCTTCCACCCTCTGCAATTGTTAGAAACCAGCAGGAGAGGAACCAGAGAAAAAGTCAGCTCAAAACCTAGCATAGCCCTGCTTGTCTGCCCCCAGGTATGCCATGGCCACTGAACATCTGGGGCCAAGGAAAGGAAGGCACAGTTGGAAGGCAATGGGTACTACAGAGAGACACATGTACAGCCTGGAGCTCTGGTACTGCACTAACCAGACGTGTGAGTGACCAAGACCAGGAATGACCCAAAGCACTGCCACCACTCATGCTCTAGGGCAATCCCAGGTCCTGGCCTGGGTTTTGACTACCTTCATTCCCCTCACTGATGTCTGAGGACGTTGGGAGACAGAAGGGAAATGGATAGGACCAGGCTTACCAACATTAAAAAGAGTTGAGCCAACAGATGACGAATTCTTTCCCTATGACCAACCATCCATACCACAGAAAACACACAACCCTTATGCTACCTCACTCGCAAAAACCTGCTCCAGAGAGCTAACTCCCTCACACGTTCTCTCACACTTTGGTTCAGCACTCAGAAGACACCTCAAGGGACACCGGAAGGGAGTTCCTGCAAGAAGGGGTCTGATTGGATTCCAGGTAGGCCACCAAGGTCAAGGAAAAACTACTTACCTTTGACTTTTCTTCATCGGCATCAAAGATGGAGCTCCTGGGCCAGGGAGAAGGTGGGGGCAAGATTTTATCCACTGGGAGCTTTGGGTCTTGCTTTATGATTCCTAGAACATGCAATTCATGAAGTGAAGATACTAATTTCATCAGGATCCCGTGCAAACCCTGGTTCCTGATGTCCAGCTAGGAAAACAATGTCAATTGCCTTAACAGATACACCCAGGATGCAATCTGCAGCCTCCCTCCAGAGAACCCAGGGAACCAGCACCAAGACATCAGAGCCGACTAAGTCAGAGCAAACCAGAGCCTATGGCTAGGTTCTGCAGGCTCTACGCTATAAAAATACTGATCACTTTATGCAGGTACCTACCTCCCAGGGTCCAAGTACAGCGGGATCCCTGATACTCCTAAAACATTGAGTATGTGACCAGGAAAACAGTCCCTCCTGAATCCAGTTCCTAACTCTACAGATCACAAGGAAGAGGGAGCATGGACTCCCCACTCCCACACAGGACACAGAAAGGCATGGGCAGTATATAAACTCACGACTTTGCAAGAGAACATACAACCTCTGAGGGAACAGGCTCTCCTCCTCCAGGGCTGTCGGTGTCAGTGTCTAGCTGTCTCTACGTCCTCAGACCAGGGACAGTGCCTGCCTAAGACTGAGGCCTAGTCAGAGCAAAGATGGAGACACCACCACTGAGTAACAAGAAATAATGGCCTACCTCCTGTCAGGAAAGGCAAGGGAGTAAGACCCTCTCTGAGGTACTGAGTAAAGGAAGACCTCAGTACCTAAGGTGGAGCAGATATTGAGAAAAATTCCAGCAAATTAGCCCCTACCCTAAACACTAGCTAACACTGGAGGGATCTGAAGTCTGGTGAGGGAGGGTAACCACAGCAATAGCAATCTCAACCCAGCTAGCTCTGCCCACCAGAAGGAAAGGTGTGCCCACTACCAGATATTGAAAATTACTTGTCTCCGTCTCCACTGTCCAGTTTTCAGCAATAAATTACAAAGCATACAAAAAAGCAAAAAGGAGTAAGTACTGGGCAAAAGGAAGCACAGTGTAAGTAATGGGAGCCAGACCTTGTTTCTTCAGCATCTGATAGGCATCTCGGATCTTAATGTCTTCTGGAAACCAGACTGTCCAACTAAAGAGTATTTCAATGATTCTTCCTTTAACTTTTTCTGTGGTCCAGGACCCTAGGTACTGAAAATAACCAGGAAAGAGAATTACAGAGCTGGAAGGGACTTAGTAGAGCACCAGCCGAGAGAAACGCTGTTGAGGCCCAGAGAGAGCTGCCCTAGGCTGGTTGAGAACTGAGGCATGCCAGAAGTCGAATCGCCTGGCACAAGGGGTCAATCTCCAGCACAGCTAAAATTAAAACCCACCATATGTGGTCTAGGTTAGAGCCACTGGGGACACTCATTTTTTGACTGGAGCAAGCGTGGAATAATAAAAGAATACATTTGGTCTTTGTCTCCAGTTCCAGGCACAGTGCTTCAAACACTCTTGGAATTTCCTGACTGACAGGATTCTTTATTCACAATGAGCCCCCTTGGACCATACCTGAGTTTAAGCTTATCCCGGGGGGGGGGGG